ACAAACCATCAACATAGTAGGAGATATAGAAAAATATAGTTCTTCTYGATTTTCAAATGCTATCGGAGAAACATGTAAGCCTCATTTAGTCAAGAGATATAATCCCGAAAAAAGAAGCCATTATATTTTGACATAAAAATATTTCTGGCTCTTTTAACTGACAAAGCTTATGCTTATGCCTGATAGTGATTAGTTAGAGGCTATKTTGTCAAACTCAGAATGACATTCCGTCAAAACAGGCTACTAAAAATAACAATAAACACAGAATATAATAACCCTAAAACTAACCCTACGATTAACTCCAACCCTAACCTTAGAGCTTAAAAATTGTTAGAGTATGGAATTTTAATTGTGATAATTTTTGAGAATGTTGTTCTGATTCTTGCGAAATATCCAATACTGAGTGATTATATACATATGGTTCAATCAATGTGCAAGATATTTTATTTCAAATGTTTCAGAAAATATGAATACACCATAAATTGAACAAAAGAAAGAAGAACACAGCTGTTTTATAGGGAGAAAAAAAGTTACTGATGTTTAATAGTCAATACTTACCCACTTTCTGGTCAAAAAAGGATGCTTTCTCCCTATAACTTCACCATCAAAGTAAGTTGTAAGAGTTGGAAATTCCTAAAAAAGATTTGAAACAACACCACACTTTTAGTTATATTCTGGGTATGAAATCTTTATGAATAAAGCAATTTCTTGATGCCAGTAGACTGTTCATCAACATAAACGACAACAAAAAACAAGACTAGGAGACAAAAACCTTWAGTAAAATTAATAGTAAACACCAGAAATACGGCCAGTTTGTATTAGGCAGTTGAATGAAGTGACATGCAGTAAAAATCGATCGTAAGTTTACAATCCATTGAGACTTTGTCAAACTTACTTCTGTTAGTTCTTTAATCTTAAGATATCCACACAGGAATGCGTTCTCATCATCGACGTGCTTTGAGATAGAAAATTTAARCAATCAGAGAAGTGATAAAAAAGCAMGAACGATCGCGTGAAAATTTCAAAATAGTGTGATTGTGAAACTTGTTGGACATCCAAACCTGCAAAACAACCTCTACATCGTAGCGATTTCCTTTACTCTTCTGGTGTCCTTGAAACCGAGAACCACTAAAAAGTAACGATTGAGCGAGACCAGGTTGTTTAGTGCTGGGAGGAAGGGGATTTGCGGCAACTTTTCCCGGCATTTCTTCCCTCCTTCATTCA